ACAAACTAAAAGAAGGGCTCTATCATAACTTGGGCCCAAGTCTAATATGTGTGTGGTGACATATTTTGTCCAATACTATTTTATTTTTTTTGGGTAAATTACATAAATCCCATAATTTTAATATGAAATTACAATTAATCCCTAATAAGTTTCTAATTACATTAATTCCTTAAAAATTAAAAAAAAACAGATACAATAATTGAAGCTCGGATACATTAAATATGTAGCTCAGATACATTAAAAACTAGCTCTGATACATAATATTTAGCTTGGATACATTAAATACTGGGTCGGATACATTAATATGTAGCTCGGATACATAATATGTGGCTCAGATACATTAAATACTGGCTCAGATACATTAATATGCAGTTTGGATACATTAAAAAAATAAGGGATTTTGGAGATTTTAAAAAGTAATAGGGGATAATGGAAATAAGTGAAACAAAATATGTGTATTTCTGAAATTTGTCCTTTTTTGTTTCCATTTACGTACTTCATTCGCCTCAAATTATTTATTGTGATGATTTTTAAAAATAATATCGTAAATTATTTATCATTAAGAAGATTAAGATAATATAAACATTTTCTTTCATTTCATCCTTAGAAGTAATTATTTTGAAGACTACAATCATCTCAATCGAGTAAATTTTTAACAACAAACAATATATCCCGTATAACGTTGTGTCTGGAGATGGTAGAGTGTGTGTCGTCGACCTTAGCCCTACCTTAGAGGTAGAGAGGTCATTTTAAATTGACCTTTGGCTCAAGGAAAAACAGTCAGCCTAAAATTATTGATGATGTACTCTTAATAAACAATGGTGATAGTTAAAATAGGAAAATAGAACAAATGATAGTTGAGGTGTGTTTTAAATATAAATGGTGATAAGTTAGATAGGAAAAGAAAACAACAAATAGTTTAAGTGTTAAACTCACAAAAAAATGATAATTCAAATATGTTCTTGACCATTAATTCATGTAAAAAAGAACACATTTTTAATTTTTCAAAAACAATATTCACCAATACGATAAGTCATACCGTTTTCCGTCTTTACATAATGTCACACATCAACAAATTTAAAGAACAAACCTACAAAAAAGTAGGGTATGGTGTAGCACTACAACAAATAAGTTAGGATAAAAGATAAAAGTAAGATTATTAAATAATAAGTAAAGACAAACTGAAAATTAAAAATTAAGGTTACTATACAATCACACCAAATCAATCATTATTCAAAATGAAATTTTTATCGTTACCTAATGATGGATCAAACAATATAATATAGTAGTCTATTTATAAATTTGTAAGCACATTATAACATTTAAGCCAAAAATATTGGGTTCATGAATTATGTCGTAACACATAAACAAAAAACACATTTAAAAGGTGTTGTTCTCTTTGTCAAAGTAATATTTCTCCATATTAATTCAATCTTATGATGGTCAACAATGTTAACTAAAGAATTTAACACATAATTTGTGTAAGATTTGTTAGATAAATCTCAAACGTCGAACGTTAAACGTGTTTAGGACATACAATCAAACGCTTAAGACGTAGATCTTACAAAACTAAGCTCCACACGAGTCTCAAAACATTTTGCCATAGCCTACCCCGAGGCAAGTCCCGAAGCGAGTCCCAACACTACCTTTTACATCAATAAGAAAGAAAGTTGAATAGTCTTTGTACTAGTTATAGTTTCCCCTAGATACAACTATTACTATAAAACTGACAAATTTAATTGGCCAGAAAATTACATTATTCTATTTTGGTTAGCTGCCAACTTATACTAGTATTTCTTTGTTAACATTCTTATCCATCCAAACATGTCACATCTATAACAGTCATCACCAAGTCACCCAACTTAGTTGTCTTTTGAAATTATCAAATTTTTTTAAAATATACTTTTTATAATCTCTATGTCTAGCTAATACAAGTAGCGAGTAGTGTGACACCCATAACGATGAACAAGCTATGGAAGAACAAGTGCACATTATATTTTAGACGAATTTCATATTAAGAAATATATATAAATCTTATAAGAAAAAATTCAGAATCAATTATTAAAGCATTATTTGAATTAAGACTTGAGAAACAAATTTGTATTAGCCTTCATTTTTGGCGTGGCAATATATACAAAAAAAGATATTAAAGTAACACGGATTCCCCACATAAATTATGTCCTCATAATAAATTAATATTACCAAATATTCTGGGAAATTAAATATTTTTAATAATTATAATATTCGACCATGTTTTGCATTTATAATTCTTTACTTTTTGAAATACAATATCTCTCTGATAATGGAAAACGATCCTTTAGAAGTTTTGAAGAAGTCCAAATTCAGCTATACATTTAATAATTGGGTGAAAACATATTTTTTAAAATATAATTTACTATAATATAATACATCTTTTTCCCTTGTCTCTTTGGATTGTTGTTACCTATTGTACGATGGTCCGTGTTATGTTGTTAGTTTAAATATATTGTTTATTTTTATTGTTACTAAAAAATTATCTTGTTACTAAACTCACTATTATATAACTACACAAAGTCTTATATTATATAACGATCGTTTAATATGATCACACGACTATTTATTTTTGAAATCAAATTATTAGATAATGATACAACATCAAAACAAACAATACAACATAATACAATAATACAATATATTATGAAATGATACATTATAACCATCCAAACAAAGATCGAATGGAAAAACGTGTTAAGTTGGATGAATAAGGAGGACCAATAAAATAAAATTTTAAATAGTCAAGTAATCGAGCTATTAACATTTTCATTTTAATTTAAATATTGTGGGAATTTTGTTAAAACAATGATTAGTAGGTTTTAACTTGTAGCCTAGATTCCACATATTTGAATCTTGTTGTAGCAAATATAAAATGAATATCATTCATATTGATTATATTTATATTTTATATATATTATTCATATGTCACAAAAAAAATGAGAATAATATAAATACAACAAAAAAAAGTGAATATTCATTAGGGATTATTGGACCACCTTTTGTTGTGGTAAACAAAAAAAGGAGAATATTCTAAATATAGATATTTTTTTGTTTTCAATTCGGTGTCGGGAACCTATATTGAAGTTAGACTTAATTCGAATTCGCATCGAGAAGTCCCACATTGGATTGGAAGGTAAATCGTTCCCTAACAAATGCGACTTTATACCCAGAAGAAATTGAACCCGAGATCTCTGATTAAGGATGAAAACATACTTACTACTCGACCACAATTCTGATCGGTCAAACATAGATATACGTGTTAAATGCGGCGATAAGCCATCGTTCATTTTTTTCACATTCTAAAAAAATAAAAATAAATTTATTCTGAAAGGTCACTGACCACAAAATGCCCTTTCCTTATTCTTCTTTATTTATTGGTGCTTATTTCTTTTTTAATCTTTCATGTCACTAACCTAATTTAATGATTAAGATTTTTAATATATGCTTCATTTCAATTATAAATTATAAATAAATAAATGTCGTTATCGATTAAATAAACTATGTCTATTTAAGTTGACATATTTATTTTCTTCCACACTTATCTTGTTTTCCAATTCAAATACGTTCTATTTGTTTATATTTTTAGAAAATATAAAATTGAATAAAACGAAAGGGATCCATAATCAATACAAAAAAATTACTAGTATTATCTAATTCAAATAGCCATTTTAATATTATTTTGATATGTACAAATAGTGTAACGACTGCATAGTTATTTTTTATATGAATTCTATAAAATTTAATTTCCCGTAAAATGTGATTTATCAATCGACAGAAAATGATACAGAAAAAAATAACGATTTCAAATTACTGAAAAAATAAAAGGGGGTGGGGGTGGGGTGGGTGGATTCTACCACACCTAGATTAATTTGGACTGTTGTATTGGCTCAAAACTTAGTGCCACTTTTTATTATTTATTTATTGTTATTATTATTATATTTGTGGCTTGTATATTAAAAAATAAATAAATTATATATGTACTTGTGTTTATCACCCTCCTAGTCCTCTCATGCATTACATCTGTCATGCAATAGTTCAGCATCATTCTTGTCAAAATAAAAATAATTAATTAAAAAAAAAGAATAGGGACCAATATTTTTACTACTATAACTTATAACATTTCTTTGCTGAAATTTGCCATAAATGATGCTAATTGGTATTATATTATATAAATGGTGATAAAAATTGTACTTTTCTTTGTTGGTAAATGGTAATATAATATAAGGTTTGTTTATAATCACATCTCTTTTTTTGACAAATTGTTTCTTTCTTTTTGGACTATATTTGTCCAACTTAAAAATTGACAATTACAACTCAACCAACTACATAAAATTGTTCATGAGTTAGATTTCACGCAGCCCGATTAATTTGTGAGGGTTAATTTTATGAGATATCATACATCACCCATTAATAACATGTATACATTTATGAGAATTGAATCTAAGACCTCATATTGCTCAACTTACACTATTGATCACTAAGTCATATCTGTAAATACAATAATGTACTTACTTTTAAAATAGTTAAACTAGCATATATTATCGTAAATATGTATATTACAATTTACAATCAATATACTATAATGTATAAATAGTTGAAAATACACAAATAATAACCACATGCTCTAATAAAAAATCTGCTACATGAATGACTATTTCAACACTTTGTTTCCTATTCTTTTTCTCCAATAACATTAAATTCCTTCATATAAAATAATTCATTCACTAAAAACGATTGATGTACATATCCCCAATTCTTATTGTTCATTCAATACCTTAGGTATTTTCATCCATGTAAGCTCTTCTTTCTTATGACACTAAAATATTATTTTTATCGTAACTGATAAAATTATTATCACGTGATCAATATGTCAGAATTAATAAGTCTTTTGTAGAAATGCCGGGTAAGACTGTGTTAGATCCTGTGTATAGTGTGAGCTTTAGTATATGGGGTTGCCTTTTTTTTTTTTTTTGTGTGTGGTATATTAAATTCTATGTGCTATTTATATGGTCTTTCTTGTTTATTGATGATTTCTTTGTTCTTGTTTTGTGTATGGGTTGAAGCTGAAGTTCCCAATTATAGTTGACACATGGGATTGAGATTGGGGTTAATCTTTGCTGATAAAGTTACAGTCTTTGAGCCAAAACAAGTTGAATCAGTATGGAATCACAACTGGGTTTAATTGAAAAATCATTTAATGTTAAATACTCAGATGGGGTTAGAGAAGCTCTTGATGAATTGCCTGATAGTTTTACAATTACTGATCCCTCTATTTCTGGTCACCCTATTGTTTATGCATCAAGGGGTTTCTTGAAAGTATTTGGTTATTCCAAGAATGAGGTTTTAGGGAAGAATGGAAGGGTATTTCAAGGGCCTAAGACTGATAGAAGATCAGTTATGGCGATTCGAGAGGCGATTCGTGAGGAGAGGGGTATACAGATTAGTTTGTTGAATTATAGGAAGGATGGGACACCCTTTTGGATGTTGTTTAATATGTGTCCCGTTTATAGTGAGAAGGATGGGAGGGTGGTTCATTTTTTGGGAATTCAAGTGCCTATTTTGAGGAGGAGAAATTCATTAGGTGGTGGAATTGGGAGAAATGGAGGAGTATGTTATGATGGAGGTAATTGCAGGGAGTATGTCTATAAGTGTTGTAGGAGGGAGGTTTGCTCGAATTCGACTATGGAAGTGGATAGAGCATTATCGGTTGATACAGTTTCAGGGTTGGACCATACAGGTATGTGTTTATTCATTATGCTTCTTGAAAGTTCTCTCAATTTTTGGTTGTTTATAGTGGTGGACTTATCGTTTCATTTCCATCGTAAATATGATCATTAAGATGTTTGGGACTTCGTGTCTGTCACCGTTAGAACATGATTTTGAAATTTGTTGCACTAATCTCCAATCATTTGAGTATTGTAGTCTTTAGCTTATGGTTCTAATTTGTTTTTAATGGTCGCCTTTGCTCCTTGGAGCAATGGTAAAGTTGTCTCCGTGTGATACATAGAGCCGTGGAAGCAACCACTAATGCTTGAATTTAGTTTAGGCTGTCTACATCACACCTCTTGGGTTGCTGCCCTTCCCAGGACCCTACACGGGGCAACCCTTTTTTTCTCTTAAGCTTAAATTCATGTTTTGACTCATTTTCATCAGTTGCTTGAGTTAGGACTTGGTTATGCTTTGGATGCATACACCTTTCCCATCACTTTGTGTTGGAGTTTCGACGTGCAGATTAGCAGTCCTAGTCAGTATGTATAAAACATAAAAGTTCGTCCAGCTACCTTGTACTGCACAAGGACTTTGTTTCCCATTTTTGTGCATTTGGATTATCTCTGTTTCATTTTCATTCTTAAATCCTAGTGTAGAGTTTCCTTAGTCTTGTTACTTTAGGTTCAATTCATAGGATTCCTTTCATAAGGCTTATATATCGCAGAAGTAGATGTTGAAGGACCTTGTGAAGCAAGTGATCAAGAAAAGACAAAAGCCAGTGTTGCTGTCAACAACATAATGTCCGTGTTGGCAAACTACAGTGAGTTGAATGGCAGACTGGTCAGTGACAGGAGATGCTGTCAATCGGGAACAAGTCTGCTCAGCGCATCCTTAAATATATCTTTTGGTAGAATAAAACAAAGCTTTGTATTGTGAGTTTTTTTTTGAATTCCTAATTTTCTTGTTTTGATGACCGATATGATCTGTTCTTGGATGGACTTAACACTTTCTCTTGGAATATCTTTCTGAAACGTGCAGAACTGATGCACACTTACCAGACATGCCAATTGTCTATGCAAGTGATGCCTTCCTAAAATTAACAGGTGCTAAAGCTGTAGCTAATTTACACTAGTGTAAACTTTTGTTCATTCCATGGGATGTTCTCATTGTTTATGGGTTTGGGTCTATTTCCTGTGTTCATAAAAAGAGCATGAGGGCTTACTCTAACTAATATTGCTAACAGGAACAATTCTTTTCTTCAATAGGCTTCTTGAGACATGAAGTATTGGGTCGTAATTGTCGGTTTTTAAGTGGGGAAGATACAGACAGAGGCACACAATTTCAGGTAATTTTTTCTTTGCAGATCTGCTCTCATTTTCTTAATTTCGTTTGTTGCATTGCTAACTGCTACATCTTGGGATAAGAGATTTGGTGCCCTTCCTAAGATTAAGATTTTCTTAAGTGGGGGAAGTGCTAAGGGAAGGTATGCGGTTGAGCAGCTGATCGCAATCCTTATTACCTTTTTTCTCACTTTGCAGATAAAACAATGCATCCAAAATGAACAACCGTATACTGTATATATCTTAAATTACAGGTTGGTTCCGGTCATTGCATAACATTTAGATAAGAATTGTTTCGTTGTTGTTAAGGCTCAATCTCTTGGTGGATGCGTGTTCTCTTTCAGAAAAGATGGAACCTCGTTTTGGAATTTTCTTCACATCTCACCGATCCGGAGTGCTTCAGGAAAGGTAATATTTTTAACTAGTAGGTACATATTTACTAGTATTGTTGTATGAGATAGAGTGTTGGCCAGTCAAGACTATCCATGTCGAGAAGATGAATGTAGCGGAGATGAGGATGCCCAGATGGATGTAGGAGAAATATGATTAGGAACAAAGTTATACGAGGCAAGGTGAGAGTGACCTCTGTGGCGGACAAAACGAGGAAGCGAGACTAAGATGGTTTGGGAGGTGCATGGATGCGCCAGTTAGGAGGTGTGAAAGGTTGGCTTGAGCAGGAGTTAGGAGAGGTAGAGGTAGGCCAAAAAAGAACGGTGTGGGTAGAGGGGTGTGGGAGGTGATTAGATAAGGCGTGACACATCTTCTTCTTACTGAGGACCCTAGATAGGAAGCTATGGAGATCGAGGATTAGGGTAAAAGGTTAGAGGTAGCCGAGTGTGGTCGGCTGGTCGCCTGTCAAGTGGGAGAGGCAAGGGGTTGCCACATATCCTTTCTACTTATTAGTAGTAGTATTTAGTAATCACGTAGTTTCTTATTCTTCTATGTGTTTCTATAATCTATTGCTTCATTTTGCTTTGTTTCTTGAAATTTTGGTGTCATTTTTTCTTCTTGCAACCCTTCTATGAATAACTTCCCTTTTAAGTCGTGAGTCTATTGAAAACAATCTCTCTACCCTACAAAGGTACGGGTAAGGTCTGCATACATCTCATCCTACTTAGACCTCATTTGTGGGATTAGAATAGGTATGTTGTTGTTGTTGTAGGTACATATTTACCAACCTTTATTTTTTTTTTGTATAATGTTGGCCTAAGATGAATTTAAAAGGGGAACATGGTCAGTGAGGATTCATACAAGTCACTCCAATTTGTTTGAGATTAAGGCATAGTAGTTGTTATAGTTGTTGCAGGTACATGTTTAACAGACGTATCTTTTAATATGAAACTTCTCTATTTTGTTTAAATTGCATTTGAGGGAGGAGTAATAAATTAACAATTTTGTAACCACAAATGTAGTTTCATGAATGAACGCCCAACATGGGTGTGTTAGCCATGAACTCAACAAAAACAACAATAATAATTGTGTATCTTGCGGAGCTTAACTGAAATGAGCTTAATGAAGAAGTGGGGATTCATTTAGCCGAACCCAACTCGTTTGGGGCTGATGTGTAGCTGTAGTTTTTGTTGTTGCCGTATCTTGTGGATGAACCTCTTGAGTTCACTTTTGCAGAGGATTTGATTCATCTAAAGAAGTGAGCCTGATTAATTTCTTATTTTCCTTTTTCGTATCACATTGAAACGAAAGGAAACATACAAAAAGAAACGTGTTTGTATTTAAACTAGTACTAGTAGAGTTAAATTATCATTGAATAAACAAGCTCTATAGTCCCAAGAGTAAGTTGGCCGAAGAGCCAAGACAAGCTATGTTTCATTAGTTGAGTTTGTTCAGAGTTCCAAGCCAATTGTAGGTTCACTGGTGTCATAAATTAGTGGCATCACCACTGCCTTTGTCAAGATTATGGCGCTCTTTTGATTCACGCCACCTATCAAGGTGATATATAGTCTATTAACAGAACATATCCACATGTTTTTCTCAAAGTAAACAACTTCTTGACAGGTTCTTTTAGGTTAATGTCATGTCCAAATAGAATGAATACATCTTCTTAGACATGCCTGTTAGTGTTTCCAGTTTTACAAAATATGGGGTTATGAATTAGAAATTTATCGGTTACCTTTGGATACATTATGCTTCAATCAAGATTCGAGATGTGGTGGACAGTTTGGAGAGAGAGAAATGGGAGGTGTTATTAAGGTAGATCCAATTCCATCCAGAAAGTTAAGTGGAATTGTATAATATCTTTCTACTTTTGGCGTAAAGAAGTAGGTTTAGAGGATATAGATCAGTTTGTAGATTTATTAAGATCTCTGTAAGTATCTTCTTTTCTAGTTATTTTTTTTTATCTAACACTTTTTGATGGTGTCCAGCATGTCCTTAATGCTGAGGAATACACATTTACCAGTTTCAAAAAAAGATTCGAGATGTGAATTGGTTCTCAGGCATCAAGAGTAATGGATGGACTAAATTTCTTCTTTGCTTTGTATTAGGAGATGTAGATCTGAGATTAGTTCAATGTCTTCTTGAATAACCAATGCTCGAAAAGATTTGAGTTTTTGTCGATAGGTTGCTACCTAGCCATAATGTTCACAGAACTTGGCGGAAAAATAGAAGTAGGCAGTGAAACCAGTTGTTAATTGCTTTGTTAAGGTAGTAAATCAAGCTGACATTTATGTTGACTTGATACAAATTAACCTAACAAAGCTCAGTCTCAATCCACTTGTCAATATTGGATTGAGACAGGTCTGAATGAAGCAACATGGACAATGAAGATTCACATAGCCGACCTCAACTAGCTTACAATTGAGGCATAGTCGTCCTATTGTCGTTGGAGCTCAGTGACAAGTCACATTAGACATTTTGTGCATAGTTTGTTGTTTTCTGTGACAACACAACTTAAGCTACCTCTACCTACTGCTGCTTGTTGAAAAATTTAGTCCTACTTGAGCTAACCCCTTGTTGTTCTGTCCCGTTTGGCTGCATAGGTTGCGTACTTTGTTGGTATTCAGATAGAAGATACTAACGAGGCTCGGGAGAAACAAGGGCTAAATCCGGAGATGAGGCATCGCAGTGTTGTCGCTGCTGTAAAGGTTGCTGTGAGAGGGTGGTCAATGGGTGCTAGCACCTCCTAGTTCTTGAAGAAATTTGTGTTTCCTATTTTTTTTCTTTCTGATAAACACATTGGATTCTGATGAAAAAATGTACTCTTATATAGCTCATTGGTACCAGAAAAAAAACCCCCAAAGAAAACATAAACAGTATGTTATGGTAATTTAAATTTGATCTTTTCTTTGTCATATATCCGGATGCCAAATGATCTCTTATAATCACTTATAAATTGAATAGGAGAAAATGACTTTTTCAGATATATTTAGGTTTTATGCACTTAAAATGTCCACAAATATGTGATTTACTAGCGAATAACTTTGGTTGATTAATTTTAATTAATTGAAAAGCTTGTCTAATTTATTAAAGGAAAAGGTGATAAGTGAAATAAAAACCCTTAAAACTAAAGCAATAAGACAAGAATACTAAAGATAAGAACAATAGAAATAGAGAAACGAGAGGATAGATTTCTTATTCTTCCAATATAAGTATCATCAAGTTCATCTAATATGAACCCTTATGCCCTTCTTTTTTAGTGTTATGTAGAGGCGTACAAAATGTTAGTCATAAATATGACATTAGTCATGAAGATAATGGATGAGATTAATGGTGGTGGAAGTTATCTTCATAATAGAGCTCTGTGCTCCTACGAACTTTGTCGTTGGTCCGTTGCTATTTTGCTCGTAGCTAACGAAAATATGTTGCTAAGATTAATAACAAATTTTATTGTTTAGCTATAAAATTTATCCAAAAGTAATTTCTTGATATAATTGACATCCACACTATAATATTTTATAACACTTTTGAATTAAGTAATGATCAAGTAATGAGCATTTATTCACAATTTTAACGAAGTTAGGAACAATCGATAATAGAAACAAGTGAAGAGACTTTAAATGAAATACAATGACGTTTAAGGAAAATTCAATTTAGATTACATATGAATAGAATGCAATAGTATAATGTAATAAAAAACATTACAAACACCCATTTATTTGATTAATTAAATTTAAATACACCCCTGTTCTTGCAACACGAGTGAAATACACTCCTAGATTCTCGCCAAGCGTAGAGTGTTTTCAATACTCCTCTCGACTTTTTACTAAGAGCTCTGTGCTCCTACATGAATTTGAAACCACTTGCTATGTCATGTGATAGATATAGGGTGTATATAAGTTTAGTTAGTCAAGTAAAAGAGTATTTTTAAGACTGTTAATATTTTGGAGATGAAACTAACAATTTAAGCCAAATTTAGAAGTGTTTTCACGTTATTTGTGACCTCAATTTTATCTGATTAACCTAACTAATGAATTTAGGTTAAACAATTTCACTTTGATATCCAAACATGTCCTAATAACAATGTCCAAATTGTTTGCATTATTTGTGTAAATCAAAGAAGAAAAAACTAATTCTTGAGAGAATACAAATGGTTTAATTGTTGCAGCCTGCAGGTAGGGGCGGATCCACGTGGGTTCCAGGGGTTCACCCGAATTCCCTCGGCAAAAAATTACACTGTATATATAAGGTAATTTTTTGTATTTGTGTGGATATATATATTTTGAACCCCCCTCAATGACAAGGAGAAAGAGATAGCCCAGCAACATGTTCCCTAAAATTTAAGCCTCATGTCGAGGGTTCGAATCCTTGAATTAACATTTAATTTTTTTATTTTTCAGTTTCATTTTTTTTATTTTTTAAGGTTTCAGTTCCGTTTTTCACGTTTTTTTTATTTTTTTATTTTATAAAACATGCTAAAAGAGGTGGTTTTAAACCCAAAAAAATTCAAGGGTCCGCCACTAAAACTATATACTACTACTTTCTTGAAATTTTATTTTGTTGGCTTATATATACACGTTTATACTTTTATTTTTTGAACACTTGAATGAAAATCCTGAGTCCGCCACTGCGTAGCTACATACTTACATTTAATTCAAGCATTTTAATAACCATGCTGACCGACAAAATATTAAAGTTTCTAGTGGACCCTTATTATACAAAATTAATTAGGACTAGTTGACTAAGGCTGTCAAAATTAATCATGCCCTCCTGAACTTATTAAAACTATTTAAATCAACACAACTCTAACAAATATCATAGGTTAGTAGAAGAGTTGTTTTTTTTCCTCCTGGGTTCAATATTCACATTAGATGGTAAAACGTTCTCTAACAAAGGAGACTCTGTACTCAGGAGGACTCAAACCCGAGATTTTTGATTAAGGATGAAGAAACACTTACCATTCCACACAACCTTTTATTGGTCATCAAAGAAGAGTTGAATAGCTTATTTACCTGACTGATTATAGGTGTATTTTACAAAATTAACCTTATTAATAATGCATTGAAATTATAAATTGGACTGCATCTACTTTACGTAGTTAATTAATATACTAAGGATAATTTGGGAAAAATAATAAAATTATCTTGATTTGTTAAAATAGACAAGGGAAATGAAATATCTATTTTTGATATAGAGGTCAAGTAAAATGAAAGGAAGGGAGTAGTTTATATGGCCATGCTTTCACTTTGTCTAGTTGACTTTCATGATCATTTTAGTTGGAAATACAATTTTCAATATATATATATATATATATATTCTTTTGAACATTTTTACCTATTTAACTTTAATACATTTTAATTAAAAATAGAAAAAAAATCAGTTCATTTTACCATTCTGGCCAAATTCTGATCAAATTTTCTGATAAAAAAGATTTTTCCATAAGCTTATTAGGCAGAGTTGGGCGACTATGAAAGCTAACTAAAAAAAAGTTAAATGACTTTAAAAAAACAAAATAAAATTGCATGACTGGCTAATCGATTAATATAAATAGAGTGAGCATTCAGATATTTAACTTCATAAAATTCATGAAAGTTGATATTATGACATTAGTGATATATCTAGATCATAATTTACTGATAAGTAATTGACTTTAAACTTAATTAGTATATATACATTAACTAGATATCGATGTATCAATACGGGTTAATGGTGAAATGATAATTGCTTATTCATCCTTAATCATAAATTTTGAGGTTGAACCTTAATATAGAGTCCTTTTTGTTAGGAAAAGTGTTACCTCCAACGCGTCAGACTTCCGGACATGAACTCGAATTAATCAAGCTATATGAGGTCTTTTATTCTAAAAATAAATATTTTTATAAATATTATTAACTTTAAATCTTGTATCCATAGATAATCCAAAACTTGTTTGATTGTGAAGGTTCACAAGTGCTGCTAAACTTTAGGACTTCAACTTATGATTCTTGTGGAAATATTATCTAAAAAATAGCTTTCGTGCTCGAGTGAGCATGGATAAGATATGTCATCATGGTTACTTTTATTATAATATATTTTATGTTGCTTAATGGGCAAAAATATATGGAGTTAATAGAGACTGTGATAGAAAACCAAAAGCAATGGGGCAATTGTAGCATTAATTAATTACATATGTAGTATGCAATTTATTCAACAATGGGAAAGCCTTAAAAGTCAATACATGAAACGTAGTATGACGCTTTTTATTGGAAAAATTATGTAATACGCAACTTATTTTATTTTATTTTAATTTTTTTTCTATCATTTGAAAAAAATTACAAAATCTCTTCTCTCATGTATCGGGATGTACCCGATATATCGAGATGTTGAGTGATGTATTCGGAATTGAGATGCGATATATCGAGATGTTGAGGGATGTATCCGAAATCGCGGTGTATCGGGACGACGTGATGTATCGGGATGTTGAGTGAGGTATCCTAAACTGAGATGCGATGTATTTTAAATCAGGACGCGATGTATCGAAATATTTTGGGATGAATCCAAGTTCCACCAATTTTAAGGGATTTTGTAATTTGAAAAAGAGTAGGGATAATATGTAATTAGCTCTTTTAACACTATATGATTTGTGTAAAATTCCCTTTTATTTAACTATTTGATATTTGAAACTCACCAGATTGATCGATCTAAATTGTGAGTAGGATTTATTTAAAAAAAGCATTTCCAAAACTCAAATCGAAGACATTTGGTTGACCTATTGATAGAGGCAAAAATCAATATTTATTGAACTTTATGAATTTTAAGTTTTACCATAATGATATCAAATGTTAGTAGCACGTTTTGTATTGATTTATATATATAAAATAAATTTATTAATACTATCATAGAGAGTGATTTTTTTAATTTTTTTTATTGAATTAGACCAAATCGATCCATATATACATAATATTCCCACTTCCATATGTAGTTAATTTGGAACGTGAAATGTTAAATCATGAATTATTTTAAAATTATTGAATTAAACCGAATCGATCCGTACCTAATATTCTTACTCCCATATATAGTTTAATTTAGAAGGTGAAATGTTAAATCAGCAAACCTGTCCAATAAATTCTCTTTGTTTCATCCAAATCAAACAGCTAGGCATTGTACCATATCTAAGAATACCTAATGAAATTGGCATTTACTTAATTAGAGGCAACCAACTTTAGTAAATGGCTACTTATATAAGTATACTATATTAAAGTGTCACTATAACAGTTCGTTAGAATAACATTTCATTATAATAGCTTAATTTCTTTGATTAGTGACATTCATTATAAAGTCATATTATTTGTAGAAAGTTTACCCTTTTATAACAGTCAATACTCAAATATTATGAAATTGTAATAGATATATTATGTATAAATATAAAATATTAAAATTTTTACGATAATTATCGTTCATTAATGTTATGCAATAGTAAATTATAAAAAAAAAGGTATATAATACACCAGTCATGAATTTTTGAACAAGTGTTAAAAGTTCAAGAATCAAGATTCATTTTCTCTGCCAAAGCAAGCATAAAAAGAAGGAAAAATAAAGAGGTAGGTAAAAGTAAATTAACCAAAGTCCATTTAAGACAATATAAAAAAAGGATTTATATTCTCTTTTTTCTCTTTAAATAAATAACAACTCAAATAGTAATAATTGTTTTTGGAAGTCAAAATGATCAGACCAATATAAGAACTTCCTCTCTGGTTCTCTATATATTTAGCATTAATTGATTACTTTCACCCAATCTTTGTCCATGCATTTCCCCTATCCTCCCTTGCCTTTTTTTTATATTTGGTATTCGTATTGAATTGCGATTAAATTTGTA